TTTCGAAGCAAAGCTTGGTTCCAATGAATGGAATATACCCATCGCCAGATCTCATTGAGCGCTGCAAACAAAGGGCGACGAAATTGCAAAATGAAAGCCCACCTGCCGCCGAGGATTTGCAAGAGCTTCCTGTCAGAAACTCGATCCTTGAGGACGCCCAATGAGCCCTGAACTGCTCGGAAAATGCGGCCCAGCCCCCCGGAGATCTGCCCAAAGTTTCCGTCAATTTCGGCGCCGAGTTCTTGAGCTAGCAAGCTGCCGCTCACATGCTTGTCCACAGCTGAAATCACACCAGCGCTCTTCCAGGAAAGCTCAGAGCCCTGCGGACGAAGCGTGTGACACCTTCTCCCCAGCAGCAAAGTTGTCAAGATAAACCTGCCACCAGCTGCGATCTGCTGAAGAAGACAAGCAGTCATTCATTCAACTGGGAACCCGGCATCACGCCGGACCTCATGGTCTGGCGGCAGTCCCCCAAGCTGCATGAGGCGCCGGCTCACACTCTGCATAATCCCGACAGCCGACAGCCACCCCATAGAAATGGTATTAGCCGCAATGGTGTACTGCCTGCCAGGCTCAAGGCCGATGAGTTGTGGAATGTTGAAAAGACAAAAGGCGGCTGTCATGTCTGATTGGTACACCTTGAGGAGCTCGTCTGGGGCCAAGACTATGGTTTGCAAACAGGCTATGGATGGCTGACATTGATTGGCCGGAATCAAATTCATGATGGTCCGTAAAACCACAAGCACACGCGACGCTTGACCGTCTATCGAAGCACCATGCTCCTCGGGCGGGAGCGCTGGAGCCATCTGATCTGGTGTAAGAGCTTCTAAAGGTAGCACTTCTTCCCCCTCGTAAGAAAGATGCCGTGAGCGCATTTCTGTCAGCACATCTGCCACACTCTGTGGGGACTGAAAAGGGCGCTCCAAAAAAGATGAGATGTCCGCAGTCAAATGCTCCAAAGCAGTTCGTGCTCCACGCAGTAGCTGCCCCTTTGCAAGGCCTGCGGACCCATGCAACCAATTCAAAGCGAAGGCAACCAGACCAACCCGTGCACGTACGGCAAATGAGGCTGACCGGTGCCCAAGACACCTTCTGCAGCGACCAGAAATCGTCGCACGCATCCAGTGGCAGGGGAAGCAAGTCTGGGTGGCGATCCCGGACGGGCTGAAGAGTGGCCAATTGTATTGCTGCAGAGGCTGCTGATCTGCTTTCCGCCAATATCGACCTCATCATGCAAAAGACCCCATGCCACTCGAACCCCCAGATCTGGGAAGGACATTGCGTCGCAGACACAGTCCCAGAAAGGTGCGCAAGGTGGGGGCGCAGGTCCCTCACACGCTACTGCGCAGGCCTGTCCTCCCTGCTCTCGTTTCCGTCGGCTCGCGCGTTCCCGCTCCGCGGCTCTTTGCCAGCAGTCCGCCACGAGCTCTTCTCCTTGGTCTTGCTGAAGCCTTTCCCTTGTTCACTGGTTTCGCCTTCCCCTTGTCCTTGTTTGCCAATCGCTGCCCCAGCCTGCATCGCTGGAAGGCATCAGCCACTTCTGCTGGCCCGGGCCCTTCTGCCCAGCCGGCGCCGGTGACTGGGCCTTCTCGATCAACGGCACATGCTTCTGTGCAGCAAGCAAAGTTGCGGGACTCGCGCTGAAGGTCTCCTCCAATGATTCGACTTCCAGGTACTTCGCTCATGACCAGTTCCCGGAGCGAAGCGCTGTTTCCAGAGCAACAAACCTCCCGCTCAGCAAGTCCCCGGGTGTCTCCAGGCGCCCTTCGCGGAGGAGATCGAGAGCGCGAGCAAGGATAAACATGTCCTGCGCATCGCAAGATCGCTGGTCGAACCGGTTCCTCACAAACAGGTTGAAGTAGGTGAGGCCCCTTGGCAAGGGAAGCACCCAGCCCTTGGCCGTCCTCGCTCTCTCCCAGTTGCACCTCTGATAGCTGCACTCGGATGTGGTTCGCAAGCTCCTTCAACACTGAGCCGGGCTTCTCCATGGCCTTCTTCTTGAGGGGCGGAAGCAGCTCCCGCTCTGCCTCGCTCGAAGATGAAGTGCTCGAAGGGGAGGCCTTCCTCTCTTTGTGGGAGGAAGGCTTGTTCTTCTTCTTTTTGCATTTCCTCTTCTTCTCCTGCTCCTGCAAACTTTTCTGGGCCGCTGCAAACAGGACCCCCTTGACAGTCTTCTTCCTCTTGGGCTTGTCGCTCTTTCGGGCCGAATCGTCGCTCACAACCTCGAGGTCGGCTTCCTCCTTCACGGCTTGCACTGGCACTGGCGTGAGCCCCGTGCTTGGGTCGGCGCCCCGCCGAGCGAAGAATGGGCGCTCGGCGGCCCTCCGAGGCCATAGCCCGAGTCTTGAGCTCTGCCAGCTTGTTGGAGAAAGCTGAGCCGACCAGTGGGCCGGGCGGCGCGGAGGAAGGCCATCCTTTCCTCCAGCCGCCTGCAGCGGCTCCTTCACAACAAGGCCCGCTTCCCGCGCGAAGTCAAATGAGTCCCTGGGTATAGCCTGGGTTGCCACGCACGGAAATGCTGCGCGTGAATGAGCTTGTCGTCCTCCAAGCTGCAAACCTCGTCCGCGGGCGTGCAAAAATGAAGGCAATACTTCTTCCGATTTATCAGAGACCCAGCCACCACGTGGATTTCCTTGTCGGGGGTGCCGAGGTACGAGACGCTCACGCGCAAGCCGTCCTCCCTGCGTTCTTCTTGCAGCACTCCGGCCAAGATGGCACCAGTGGAGGCGTCGCTCACATGAGATGGAAGCTCGACAGACAACACGGTCCTTGGAGGGAAAGACAAGTTGGCCCAAGACTCCGTCTGGGATGCCTGTAAGCTCGTAAATCGTCTATTCCGTCCTCTTCTCCACAAAGGCCCAAGTCCGCCATTGCTTACCGCGCTGGACGAGACCCAAAGGACGTGGGTGAAGGGCCGGTGAGTGACCACAAAGAGGTCCTCCAAAGCACGCTTGCGCCGCTGGTGCTTTCGTCCAGAGCGATGACCTGGATCGCGATCTCGCCAACGTCGCTCTGCTCCCTCTTTTCCTGCTGCCGGGGAGGACCCTTGAGCTTGCGAGGTTGCCGAAGATCTGGACGACACTTGGCAGTGGCGCCTTCTGCAGCCCTGAAAAGTTCAGAACCAGCTTGACTCCGAGTCCCCCTGAGCAGGCTGATTGCGCCGCAGGGGCGAGCGGTGGTGGGGAGAGGTCGCAGCCGGCGCGGGAGGCAGGCTCCCAGCCAAGCGAACCAAAGCTCTTACCTGGCGCGCGGCTGTGACAGCAATGTCCTCAGCCAGCACCCGGCACCCCTTCACCTGCCAGGCACGACCAAGGTCAGCTTGGATGGCCTCCACCGACTTGCACCCCAAACACCAAGCTTGCCCTTGCTTACACTTGCTACAGGGCATTGACCCAGAAAAAGGCTTCAGAGCGAAACAAGTGGCAAAAGACTCGGCAACCTTCGCGCTAAGCTTCGAGACGAAACCAGCAGGAAAAAATGGTAAGATTTGTAGTTTATTTCCTGCCGAATCTGCAAGCCAATTCCCCAAGTGTAAGATTGAATTGGAATTGTGGAAGAAACTGAAACTTCCAAAAACCGGGCCCAGAATTTCAAATTATACAAACTAATTTGTAATATTCGCAAAATTTCATTAAATTACGCAACAGAATTAGGAATCTCACAAATTTCACATATTAGTTTGTACAGAGTTTGTCACTTGGTTCAACAGAACTTCCGACTCCGGAATGATGTTTGTTGGGGCTGACAGCAACTTACCTCCAGAGTGAGGAAAGCCCCCGGGCTGGCAAGGTCGGAGTTGGTCACCCCTGCCTCCCATGTGTTGCTCACCCACTTGAAAGACTCGGTTTGAGGCCGCACACACGGCTTCACAGACCTTGGTTTGCCAACACCTGTAGTTCTTGGGCAAGGAGAAAGCAAGAATAACAATTTGTTCGGCATCTTTGACTTTGGGCTTGTCAGCATCGTCGCTGAATTAAGGATTTGCCTAAGCTCAAAAGCGTTAAGCTCAAAAGCATGTCAAGCCTTTTCCGGGCGGTCTTCCAACTTCCCCTATACGAAGGTGAGGATGAGCACGATGAGGAGGAAGAGCTGGAGGATGATGAAGAGCTAGGAGAGCCGCCCGTTGGCTTCTTGTGGCTCTTCTTCTTGCTCTTCTTCTTGTCCTTCTTGCCCTCTTCTTGTCCTTGTTATTACTATTATTCTTCTTGTGTCCTCCTTGCTCTTCTTGTTCATCTCTCGCATTCTTGTTCTTGAGCTGCGTCGTCAACTTGAAATTGGCAAACGTTCTTTCGGCTGCGTTTCTCTCAGCAGCCCAGCGTCTTTTAGCCTCGTTTACTTTGGGCTCCCGGACCATGCGCTCGAGGTACAATCGTCCCTTCTCCTGGCTCACGACCGAAGCGGGCACAGGCACGTCTCCTGGGTCAGAATGCGGAAAACCTGATGGCCCTTTCCCTTCCAGCTTGTCACCCCCTGCTGGCTCAGCACTGCTTCGTTCATCTGTGCGATCGCGGGGCGACAGCGCCGTGGCGTCGCGGGCTAGGAGCGGGTGCTGCACACGTTACCAGCGATACAGCTGGTAACCTCTTGAAAGAGGACCTAAAATACAGCAAGGGTGAAGCGCACCTTTTTACTCAAGCCATATGTGCATGATGGTACAATGCAACGGTACATCAACAATGAAGACTACTCAATAACACCTCGGACATCCCCGCACCACTGTGCAGCTTGTCCAAAATGGAGGTGTTTTGATTTTGCCTCCCTGCTTTCCCACTCCCCTTCTTGGGGCGGATGATGGTTGAGTTGCAAACTGCAAAGCAGAACTTGTCTTCCGGGGCCCAACCCCGATTTAGGGCCCATCTAGCTAGCAATCATGTTTCACAAGCTTGAAATGAGCAAAGGTAAGGTCATTTTTCCCTGGCAGGTCTGGGAACCTTGCCAGTCGTCATTCACTTGTCTTGAGCCGTCTGTCTGAAGCTAAACTTATCTTCACGGCGGGGGGCAACCCCGCCGGCCACCACTTTCTTCAGCTCCGGCAACGTGTCCACAAGCCTCCAGACACTTCTGCTTCAAGGAGCCCGTTTTCGGGCTGGGAAACCAAGAGGCAAATGGTGGGCCCCTCATTAATGCTTCCCAAATCATTTTTCCAAGACGAATCAAGAAACAATGGCTTAAAATGTCCAAAGCGCTAAGAAAAGTGACGCATTGCGACAAGGTCCGCTTGCTGCCCAACTACGGAGAAATATGTCAGGCGGCCTTTCAAAAGCCGATGGCCTCAAACAAAGGAAAGAACGAACACCAGAACAAAACAAGTCGAAGGACGAAGACGATGGGTGGCCGAAAAGCATTCAGTCAAGGCATAAGCCAACGGTGACACGATGTTACTGCGGCTACGCTTTCCTTCTTCAGTTCTTTGTGCAAGGGTCTCGCTTACAAACCTCTCTGCGCAAGATCTCTCATACAACTACTCCTGCGCGTCGACCCAATATTGACACCATGCAAGCCAAGTTGCGCGAATGTTAAGCGTCTCTATGCGAGATTGAGACTTTCAACCTGGAGGCTTTGCGAGGCATGTCTTTTTACGTGCTACTTTTGCGCTGAACATTGCGATGTTTTGGCTATGGAGCTGCGAGACCGCGCTTTGCGCCCAACTTCCACACTCCCGTTTTTGGACATTGGCCACTCTGATCCCGGCAGAGGGTTGAGCCGGAATGTGGACAAACACGCAAACAAAACTGGAGCACATGTGATCGGCCAAGCCCTCTTGTTGTTGGCTAAAGTCTAGTTGGCGTTTGTGGGCTTCATTGAAGCCAGGACTCTTTGGGCTGGTTTTCTTCAGCCCGCAAGGCGCTGCAGCAACCCAATCCGGGCCTCACATGTGCGCGAGACGAAGTTCGGCGTAGAAACTTGGTGAAGTTTGTTGCTTGCTTAAGAAGGCTCAAGCAACGCGCGCAGACGCGCTGTGTCGCACAGCTTGTTTGTTGCCGAGGTGCGCTGCTTGCTTCTGTGTGTGGCTCTGTAGGATGGATGGTTTCCTTATCTGTGTCTTACAGCACTGTGCGCGTGTATCTGTGTATCTATGCGTGATTCTCTCCGCGCATTGGTCTGCGTGCGTGCTTGCGCGCGTGCGTCTTGTGACCGTGTGTATGTGTGCAGCGCTCAGTGCGACGCAGATACGCAAGACCGCTTCTGGCGCAGAGAGGTTTAGCACACAGAACAGCACAGATTCTCAGCGCAGAAGACTTGATCCGAAGATCGCCTGCTTCCTGCGCAGAGAGTCAGCGCGCAGAACGACGCAGATCGTTGCGCTACGCGAAAATTTCACGGCGCGATATAAAAATTCAACACACGCAACCTTTCTTGCGCGCATGCAATTAAGACGTTGGCAGGGTGTGCTCGGAGTCAAACGTTTTGCGGCGGCTTGGCCAGACCGAAAACGCTCACGAAAATCGCACCTTTGTAGGGACGCAGGTCCCAATTTGCCTTGCTGGAAACTTCCCCGCCTCTGTCTGAGCTCACTCTGCTCCATGCAGCGCCTGGCGCGTTGGCGAAGCCACACCACCGCACGACGCAGGCGCGCCCAACTGTCACTGCAACAAATATCAACTGTCTCGGCTGCAAGGAAGAAGCCGCCCAAAGCTGGTGGGTGCGGGCGGGTGAGCTTGAGCGACGGCGGTGAGACTTCTGGCCCACTTTGTGCCAAAAGAGTTTAAGAACAAACCCTGCCCCCGCGGTGTTTTCGGGGGTTCCTAGAAGTATGGATGAAAATTTACCCTCGCAGTCCCTGACCCTGGCCCTTGAGGGCAAGTGCTCTCGGCGGCGTCAGGCCGCTCACCTTTGCCGCGGCGCATGTCCCGGCCAAACACCAGGCGTCGCCCACCCAGCCAGTTGTCAGCCGGCGGGGTCTACGTTAATTACTTCTGTTGCATGTGTACATTTTGTATGAGCAAACGTCAACATCTCAGAGGCCTCAAAGCCCACACCAAAAACGCCAAAAGAAGCCTCTGCAAGCGGTGGCAACATGATGCCAAGACTCGTCACCAAGCGTCTAACTTCCGAACACATATGTGAAAACTGAAGATTCTCAAGCCCCAAGAACTCTTGTGGAACGTCATGGAATATGCTTCTGCGTGAGCGTCACACACTGTGTGTGTGTGTGTGTTTGTTGCGCGTTTGTGTGTGTGTCTTGTCTCTGGTGCGTGCGCAGGCACTCTAGACGAGATGTCATCTGAGGATGCAGTAGCTCAACTTTGGGCTGTCATGTTGCTGGAGCCAGGTTGCCCAAGCCCTTGAGCACCAGCACGACGCAAACCTGTGCACCAAACAGTCCTGAGTATGATGATGCAGCACGCCCGGCGGGCATCTTCGAACAAGCAGTATGTCCCGTAGTTTCTACGCGTCGCCGATAGACCTAGAAGGCCCATGCTCATCGCAGAGCGGTGCTGCAGACTTGAACACGCACGGTCGCAATCAACATTGCCACGGCCCATTACCGAAATCACCCTACTGCCAGCCAACAATCAATCTGTCACTCAATCTGTTCATGACCTGTTGCCGGATTACCTCAACTTTTGAAGGTCTGGGTTGCAACTCCCCTAAGGTCTGGCAACTAGACCGCAATTGCCCAGCTTCCGAAGCAGGGCGCTGCGAGAGCCAGATGATGAGCCCAGCTCGGCGCCGAGTTGGTTTACACCACCCCTTTAACACTTCCAAAGGAGAATGTCAGGCAAGACAGGGTCCGCAAAGAGTTGCTGCGCCGGTACAGCTAGGGTGCCCGTTGTCAAAAGTGACCTCAAGTTGCTTCAGCAGCCTTAGCTGTGACCAGGAAGGCAGCCAGTTATTTGCTGGTTGACTAATTAGCAAGGTTGGCCAGAAAGTGGGAGCTTACAACCTTGCTAGCTGGACAGCTCATTGCTGGTCGGCTAGCTTGCCGGCGAGGAAATAGTCAGCTACTTGGCCTGTTACCGACGCGGCTAGACAGAACAAATAGGTAGCCAATTGGCTAGATGGCTGCAATCCACAGAACGTTGAGCGTGAGAGGTCCATGCAACAAGACAAGCGTTTCTCACAGCTGCAGCCTGTTGCCTGTTGCCTGTTGCTGCTGCTGCCGCAGTTGATTACTCGGGATGATGCTTCTCAGCTGATTTACAACTCCCTCCTCGCACGCGCTTTGTTTTGCAATCAGGCTCTCGTGCGTTGGGAAGCACTCGGATTCCGCTGCACTGTTTTGAGGCACTGAAGCCACGGAAGCCGAACAGGTCGGGCACAGCGCAGCAACGCCTCGTAAAGTCTGGGGTTTGCAATCGGGGGGTGAGAACAGAGCACTTTGAGGATTGGGTAGCAACGCTTGCTGAGGAAACCAAGCAGACAAGTCCGCGCTCGATTCGATTTGGCAACCATCTTCAAACTACAGTATGTCCCAAGCCTTGCCCCCATGCCCCACCTGCTCTAGCTTCCCTTGGCCAAGCGATATCGATGGCAGCCGTGCGCAGTGTCTGAACCGCATCCACAACCTCCGCTTTGCGGGATGCTCAGTGAACAATATGCCCCAACAATCCCCAGGCCTAAGCGAAGCGTCGTTTTGAAACCTTTGTGGGGGTAAAAGAAGGCCCTCTTGGATACAGCACAAGACTTGCGCCAGGCCGCCAGAGTTAGCACTTCCCCACAGTGAAACAATACCTGCAAAGGGCGCTCGGCCAGACCCCTACCTCTCTAGGCGAAGCCCCGTTTAAACCGTCAACTCAGAGAGTACCTTGACGGCGTTGACCCTCTCGGAGTGCGAGGGCACCAGCAAGTCGCAACGAGCGCGGTCAAACACTCCGTATGTCCGTGTGAATACGCGACGACTGATTTTTGGGCGCGGCTGGATCAACAGTGATGTGTTGTTTTTTGCCGAAGGCATCGCGAATGGTTGTTTGGGAAAAAAAAAGCTGCTGGTCGAACAGCCGTACGCTCGCAGCTTAGCGTTGGACAGCTTTGCTTGCGCAGCCTTTGCGCAGCGACTGCGTGTAACCTAGCTCACGTCATCTTGGGAAAGTTTAGGAAAGGAATGTCATTCTTTATCCACATCCATCTACAAATTACTTTAGGATGTGGATTAGGAAAGGAATGACACCTCCAAGCCTCTTTCTATGGCTTGGTCAAGGGATGGTGAGTGACAGAGGGAAGGGAACGGTCCACTGTTGAATCTTCATTCCTCTTCCTTCATCTGCTGGAACCTAGCTCACGCGCCCCATCTCACGCAGCGTGGGCTGCCTTGCCTACACCAGCTCAGCATTGGAAAGCTTTGTGCGCAGCGATCGGCTGTCGTCGCAGCTGAGCGTTGGGCAGCCTTGCTCGCGCAGCAATTGCGCAGCGATTGCGCAGCGACTGCACGTAGCCTAGCCGACGCAGCCAAGCTCACGCAGCGTGACTTACGCAGACGCAGCTTCGCTTACGCAGTCAAGCCGTAGCCTGCCTAGGCGCAACCACGCTGGTGGCAACGGTCGCCGGCAAAACACATCGTTTCGCCCCACATTGCATGATTGTCGGCAAATCGCATCATTTTCTCGCCAAAGCGCATCACATTCAACAAGCAGCATCAGACAGCGTCGTTTTTGGAAACGTTGCGCCAAAAACACCATTGAAACCTCTAAAATGCACGAAACTCGGCTTACTAGCCGACCTTGAGCCCAGCGCACGCAGCCCAGCCCGCCCAAGCTCGCAGCCTTTAGATCTGACTTCTTTCTTATGGATCTGGCGGCGCTGGCGGGATGAACCCATTCTGCGGGATTGTGCGTGTCGGAGCGCTCTCGCAGCGGCGCCGTGCGAATTTTAAAGCTCGCCGACGAACCCTCTGCGAGGATTGCGCGCGTCGAATCGCTCTCGCTGTGGCGCCGCGCAAGTTTGAAAGCGTGCGGCGAACCCTCTGCGAGGATCGTGAGTGTCGGATCGCTCTCGCTGTGTGGCTCTACGTCGCCGAAGAACCCTCTGCGGGGATCGTGCTTCTCGGATCGCTCTGTTCCGAGGAGCGCTCTGCGGGGATCGTGCGTGTCTGATCGCTCCCGCTGCGGCGTGCGATTTTGTCAGCGATAGTACGAAAGTAGAACACGACGCGCACAGCAGCTCCGGCTCGAACATCGCAAGTTTTGAGGACGAAAGTAGTATGCGAAGTGCACTTCTCCAGCTCCGGCTGGAAAATCGCAGGAATTAAGCACGAAAGTAGTACGCAAACTGCACTTCTGCAGCTCTGGCTCGAAAATCGCAAGGTTAAGTGCGAAAGTAACACGCAAAGTACACTTCTGCAGCTATGGCTCAAAAATTGCAAGCATTCAACATTAAAATTATACGCGAAGCGCATGTGTGCAGCTCCGGCTCAAACCAGGTTTAGGCGCCAAAGGTGCGTTGCCTCACAGCACATCTCAACGTAGCCTTGCACCGCAGAGCAGCTCAACATAGCTTTGCGGCGTAGCGCAGCCTTGCTGCGCAGCAGACCTCAGCATAGTCTTGCTGTTCGCAGCGCATCTCAAAATAGCCTTGCCGTGCAGCGCGTCCCAACAAAGCAGTGAACAGCTCTGCTACGAGCAGCTCTGCCCTGCACAGCTCTGCTCTGCACAGCTCTGCTTTGCACAGCTGGGCTCTCGTTGACAACTACGTTGTTGCAATAGCTTTCGGGAGAACCGGGGTCTAGTTTACCGAGGGCTCATACTCTCTGCCAAGGATTGCGACACACAGAACAAGCTGCTCCACAGCTTTATGGGAGAAGCCAAGGAACCTTTCTCCGTACCGCAGGCGCAGGAACTTAAAAGGGCTCCAATGTCCGGCGCAATTGTCCTTCCAACCCCTCTTCTGGCTCAGCTTATTCCCAGCCAAACACCACATATGCAGATTCCACGGCGAATGCTTGAAATGCAAAATGGTGCCGAGGTCCCTTGCAGGCTGCGAAGTGTGGTTTGGCGCAGTGTGTAGGCATCTCCGCGCAGCAAGAACGATTCACCCATGGAGTCCTAGGCTCTAGGATGACGCGCGCCAGGGTGCGCTGCTAAACTCGCTGGGCGCTCTCTGTTCCTAGCAACCCGCTTGGACCTACACCACGAAAAGCTGCCTTCAGTTGCGGTATGCAACAAATACAACTTGACAAGTAGCAACGTTCTGTCACATTACCACAACCTGCTGAAGTCTTCCAACTTGCTGAACCACGTGGAAAATCTTCCAGGGATTCCGAGCTGGGCCAGCACAAGGGAGGGAAATTGGCCCTGAAACAAGCCCGTCGCGATTCGGTCCTTTAACTCAGTGTGACATGTGGGTCACAGACATGGCTGGCGCCTTTGCGCGAAGCGCCGCTTGAGAGGGCACAAGTTGGGCGTGACAGTCTGTGGCCGCGCACGCTGCACCAAACCTGCCAACTGCGCCGCACAATTCGAGAAACACACGCATCGCGCTTGCGCCGCAAGCCACGCGCTCAGCGTTTGCCATTGGGTTGCTTGCCCTGGTTCTTCGCCTGGCAAAGGAAATGTCGCTGCCAGCCCAACATGATTCCGTCTTAAGCTGTAGTTGGGGGTTAGGACCCCCTGAACGGTTAGTTGATTTGTGTTTGGTGCACCTGCGCCAGCGCCCCGCCCACCTTTGTCCCAAGCAAACGACTCGGCCTGGTCAAAAGTAGAAAAGCCACACCAGCGACAACCCCTAGATGAAAAACACATCACGACTCCCGTGGTAGATTTAAAACGGGTCATGCGGCACCATTGGGTTGACCAGTTTTTCAACGAGTTCAATTGAGCAAATGCATTGTGTGAAGGCGACAGGTACCCCTGCAAGGACATTTTGAATTTTCCGGCACATTTCAAGGTCTCCCCCTTATCCGCTTCTGCGTTGGCCAAGTGCATGGTTCCCCTAGGCCTCCCAACCAGAGGTTCATGCAGGGTTGATCAGACCAGACGGGTGCGGCCCGTGGGCATCAAAGCGGGACCCTGGCAAAGTTCACACCCGGGCCCGCCCCCCGTGTCAGATTGCATCCCTTTCAGAAACAACAAAGATTTCTTGCTCGTTTTGTGGGCCGATGTTTGATTTGGATGCAGGCACTTGCGCGCCCTGCGCAACGGCTGGCACAAAAGCTCCACAGCTGTTTGGACTTTTACACTGTGGGCCCGGCCCCAAGGGGTCATTTGGCACCTCCGCATCCGCTGATTTGAGCAACTCTGTGCAGAGCGTGTTGTTTTGCTCTCTTTAAAATTGACTAGCATTACTCTAGCTTCCGTGGGCCCTTCCGCGCCCTTTCCATGGCGCCCAAGATTGCCTTCCGCGGGCTTCCGTGGCGTTTCATGGCTTGTTGTTTGCCTGCCAATCGCATGGGTTTCATCTCTAAATGGCTCTTGATGAAACCTGGTCAACTCCATAGACCTGGTGAAGGTGCAGCCGGGATGTTTAAGCAAGAGGCCTTTTTGCCGAGCCACAAAACGTTGGTTTTTGCGCGCGCCGACCAGCCCATGCTCTCCGTCGCACGCCTGCGCGCATGACTGTGTTCCGTGCTCGGGGCATGGTAAGCACACCCGCGTGCCGGCGCATGGTGCGCACAACCGCTCACGCTCGCCTTCGCGCGCCTGAGTACATGCCTGGCACACTGTAACCGCACCCGCCTGCGCTCTCCATCGTATGCCGGTGTACATGCCTACCCGCTGCCTGGCATGGCTCTCCGCACATGCCTGCCACATAGTAAGCACACACGCCACACGCTCTCTGTCGCACGCCTGACTGCACGCGTTATGTCGACGGCCTACTGTCTTGGCTATGGCTGTTTGTGTGTGTTTAGTGGCACCCACAGCTTCAGCATGTCAGGTCAGCAGCAGTCGTGGCGCCCGGAGATGAAGCCCCCCCAAAGCACGTACAAAGAACACGTGAACAGGTTTGCGTGTGTCGCTGAGGCTAGATACACTTGCTTATTCTATGAAAGCCTGCATTTTTCAGTGAAAAATGTGTTTTCCTCAAAAAAGTTTTCTTTTAGTGCAAAGCATTTCTACGTTCCATCGGTTTCTTGCTTCTCTATGAACAAACTGTGCTTAGATCTGATTACGAGATCTACTGGTCATAGATTGTGCCGATGACCTATGGAAGGTGCGGTAAACAGAATGTGTGGATGGATATTTCAAGAAATCGAAAAGACTAAGAAAGACTGAAATTGAAGGAACGAAAAAAGCACAGAACATGAAAAACATATTAAATAAGACAGGAAGGAAAGGAAAGGAAAGGAAAGGAAAGGAAAAGAAAGGAAAGCAAAGGAAAGGAAAGGAAAGGAAAGGCAAGGCAAGGCAAGGAAAGGAAAGGTTCGATGAGAGACAAAGAAAGAAAGAAGAAAGGAAAAAAACAAGAAAGGAAGGAAGGAAGGAAGGACGGAAGAAAGGAAGAACAAATCAAAGAGAGAAGAAAGAAGAAAAAAGAAGAAATATACAATAAAGCAAGACAAGATGCAAAGAAAAGACCGGAAAAGAAAGAAGGAGAGAAGGAGAGAACGAGAACCAAGAAAAGAAAGACAAAGATAACTATAGTTTTGGTAGTCTTGAAATTTCCGCCCGCCTGCTTCGCCGTCTCTACTGGTAAACGTCACCGTGTGCAGCAAGCCAGTTTTTCCACAGTAATATGCAGTTGTATGGGGCCTTCTCCTTCCCAATCTCTCCAACACCACCAACGCAATACTGGGATCCAATTTGGCCCGTGAAACATTCGTGGCGCCGGACAACCATCAACGACAAGCTGAAACCCTTCTGGAGAACATCTGTCCGCACTGAAGCCAGACTGAACCTTGAATACCTGTAGGAATTCATCAGCAATGGCATGTACGCCCGATGCCAAGATGTAAAGAAGGTCGAAAGAAAGAACCCGACTTTGAGAGGATACCTCAACAGGAACTTGTACCAAGAGTATTTCCCAACTGTCACAGTCTTGACAATACGCCAGCACTTCTCAATAAATTGACAACCCAAGAAAAGCATTCCCTGAAATAGTCACGCTCTTTCAATGCGTCTTGAGTGCGAGCGTGGCCAGCCATCAAAGGAATGAAGCATTGCCCGCACAAACTCCCGGCTGAACTGCAAGTGTACGACTCAGAAGCGTCAGCAGTAACTGCCACAGCTGCACTTGATTCGTCACCCCCGTGAATCAAGCTTTTTCCCGCGGCAGTCCCTCCTGAACGCCGTGAATGCTGTTGCCCAGTCTGCTCGCATTGCACATACACTGAGCTCGTATCAAGATTGCCACGCCAAGTGTGTGCCACGAAGTCCGCGCTGGGCCTTGCGACAGTGCTGCGGCTACCACGAAATCTGCACCTCACCTTGCGAAAGTGCTTTGCTTGCAAGTGCTGCGCCTGTCACGAAATCTGTACTTGACTTTGCGCACGCGCTGCACCTATCACGAAATCTGCACTTGACCTTGCGAAGTGCTGCGCCTGCCTACGAAATCTGTGCCGAAGTTTGCGAAAGTGCTGCCCCTGCCAAGCAATCTGCAGCTGACCTTGCAAGAGCGCTTCCTCTGCCACAAAATCCGTACTGCGCTCGCCACGAAGTTTGTACCTGACGTGCCACGACATCTTCACCTGACCATGCGCTGGCGCTGTCCCTGCTACGAAACCTGCGCCTCACCTTGCGAAAGTGATGCGACTGCCAGGCATTCTGCGCCTGACGTGCTGCGCCTGCCGCGAAATTTTCACCTGACCTGACAAGAGCGCCAACGCTGGCTGCACGAATTGGTGCCCCGTGCCAAACGCGTGGTCAACATCTCTGAGCGACGGCGTGATCGGCATTCTCTGGGAGAGGAATTCTGATTGTGACGCGACCCTTCAAGCTCTTGACTAAGATGACCTGAACTATGCCTTCTGCTTTGATCTCCGCCAACGCGCGCACCGCCCGAACAGACTTTCATGAGACCGAAGACAATGGGCCGAGTTGAGGTAAGCTGCACGCTGGTGAAGCTGAGGAGGACGTGAGCCCAAATCTGGCCTGATCGTTTCGAGGACTTTTTTTGGAAACTGTGGCTCGACTGCTGGGAGGCTATGGCTGATGTGGAGCCAGAGTTGGTGAACATCATAACATCATAGCACTTGCCCCCACGTTGGACAACTTTTGAGGCCCAGGAAGAAGAGGAGGAGGAAACAGGTGAACTCAAAGAGGGTACTTGCGTGACTTTGTCTTTACAAGTACAACTTTCTGTCTCAAACAAATAGGAACAAAGCAAACAAAGCCCCTCCTGCAGACACAAGAGGGGCTGGAAGAGGAAAAACATCTCCAGCTTTCTATGCCACCTGCGTCTGATTCCTTTGTTCTACAAGATCATGGGCAAGTGGACTTACAACCCGCGGGGTGCCGACGAGAACAAGGTGTGGAAACACTAAGCGTGCCGTGGACAAGATGGGTTGGTACGCCAAGATCCGGGCAACCTCCTACGCAAAGGGGAACAAGTCCAACCTTGGAAAAAACCGAAGAAGAACAAGGAATTGAGCTGCCCACAAGACGGAAAGGACCTGCGGCTGGGCGGTTGGTGGCTGGCTGGCTAGGTGGCTTGCTAGCTGGCTGGCTGGCTGGCTTGCTTTTTCGAATTTTGCACCAAAACAGGACCCAACAAAGTATTTGGGACAAAAAACAAAAACTTTATTTACGACTTATTTCCAACCCTCCGCAGCAAGCGCGGGAAACCACCCAAACCACTTCCTGTCAAACTTACAAGGTTTACAGATTAATTTGCAAGTTGTGTAGAAATTGAAAAATCTGGTCCGACATTACAAGTTCTACAAGCTTTACAAACTCTGTGAGGAGAGCGGACGGCGAAATGAAAGCCGCGCTTAAAAACAAATAGCTTCTTGTCTTCTTCAAAAAGTACCGTTGCTTATTTTTAATGCGTAAGGCTCAAATAGGGTAGTCCCGCTTGTTGTTTAAGGCTACCCAGCACGGCCGGGCCCGCTGACTCTTTTGATCAGGCATTGCAGAAAAGTCGTGCCAACTTTAGCGCCCGCTGAGCAGGCAGTCACTTGGCGAGTCAAGACAAAGACGCATGAGATGACAGAGCTTTGTTTGACCCTCCCTTCAGCCGTGTGTGTGGCCATATGATGGAGAGGTGGTCCGAAGATGTCGAAGTCAGTTGCAGGTATGTTTGATTCTTCAGGGCGCATAAGGGCCGCAGTACGCGCAGTTCCGCTCGACGGCCGGATGCCTCAAGATAAAGATACCAGACGCTTTCTACTCTCAGGACGCACGTCTGCGCGGCCGTGTTTCTTCTTCTAGGATATTGAAGTTTGTGTTGTTCTACTGTTCCTTTGTCACGGCAGTGTCAAAGCGGATACTTCCTTCTATGTATTCAGGTGCTGTGCTAGCGCTGCCATTGCGGTCAATTGGCTGACTGCCAAGCTGGAGTGGCTTGCGTGGGTTTTGAGCTTACTCAGTGAAAAGGCCAGCCTTGAGTCACACTGCTGCACACTTGTTTGTCTTCAGGAAGATCCACCCTGCAAGCAACTTTTCCAGCAGGGTGTACTTGTACGAGGCTCAAATGTTCCAAAAGGGCAAGTCCTCAGCTAATGCCTCTGCAGGCTCGAACACGCTAGAAGTTTCTCCTTCATCAAGTTCGTAAAGAAGCAGGAGGCAGCTTGTGTTGCCTCTTGACAAGGAAAAGTGCTGAATGAAGACATTGCTTAATTAAACTTTTTAGTGCTTATTTAGGGAATGTTCCCCCTGGAAAAAGCGCGTAACTAAGCACTAAAGAGCTTAATGGAGCAAATAACACTTGTGTAAGAACTGCTTTCCCTTACTTAACGCATAACACCTTAATTAAGCGCTGTTGGAAGTTGAGGGCACGTGCTTCCGCGCGCGCGGCGAGGTGCACAATCCCTCGCCGCACTACTTTCAAATCCGCCGACCCTCTGCCTCCCGTCCTAGGGGTGAGATGCAACTGGAATAAGTGATTGGGGGACAAGTCTTGGGTTGCCCTAGGACCGGTCCCAGGACTGCATGGTTGTAGGACTGTGTAAAAATGCTGAAAACACTGCAAATATGCAGCATCCAAAGCAGCCCTCGGAAGCCCCTATGCTTCGCGCATCGCCTGCGTCCCTTGAGTCACAAAATGCAATGGAGGTGAAAAAATGAAAGTGGAAAGCCGGCCGCTCCTCCCCCAACATGACCCTTGAAAACTGCTTCGAGGGGAAGGCTCGGCCTGGCCCTTGGCAGTCTGCTCCTTTGGAGCGATCTCAACCTCGGGATCGTCCTGCGAAAAGTGCGTGGAAGCATCATATTCAAAAAGGAGGCTTGGGGAATCCAATGGTCTCGATTTCCGCTTCTCCTCAGGGTCACAAAAGGGCCCGCAATAAACTAGATTTTGGAACAACTCTCTGGTTGAATGCCTTCTGCGACGTGTTGCGAGTAGCGCTGCTTGTGTGTGTGTGCGAGGTTGTCTTAGTCCATAACAACTTCGGAATGTGCCCAGAAACCCCTCAACCTAACTCACTGCGCCCAGAAAACGAAGACGGGGAACCATCGTGGGAACGGCTCAAAGCCTCTCCTCAAAGTCCTCTTCCTCCTCTCCTTCCTCGTAGTACCATTCGTCCTCCTCGCTCTGAGCCGTGGCCGGCGCAGCACTTGCCGCCTCCCAGATTGGGGGAAGTAAGGGGGGAAGGCACGCAGCTAAAACCTTCCCACCAACATGGAATTGCGTAGGCCCAGGCTCTTTTGGAAAGCAGTCAAGAGATCACTGTTCTTCCACGCCTGTTGTTGGTGCGGAATACCGGTCGTCTTCGAACGCCTTCTCTGCAAAACCGACATGGGCCCCAAAATGCATGTCTCGATGTCCCATGCCCAGATTCCGTGCAAGGGGCGGCGGTGAGAGAAGCGCTGATCGCAAACGAGGTACGGTTGATTCCCTACATCCGCCGGTCCCTCTGCTCCTGATCTTGCCTGACTTTACAGGGAACGGCAAGATGTGTTATTTTCATGGTATGTCTAGCTACTCCCTTGCTGACTGCCCGCCTAGAATTAAGGATCTTAAGGTCTGGCCCATCACGGCTGGCGCGCCGGCTTATGGCAGCCTAAATTGCGAAGGAAACCCGGCATGGTGCCGCCTTGAGCACTGGTGCCTCTTGCGCCTGCTCCATGCCTGGCGGAATGCTCAAATTGACTGGGTTTTGAAAGGGGTTTGAAGGGTTCAGGTTTGGAAGAGTCAACCCCTTTCAAATTCCAAAGGTGGTTGGCGAACTCCATGGACAAACATGTGGAAGCAACGTGGCTTTGGGCCTTTAGGCCTTTGGCACAGAACCTGTTCCAAAAGACCGATGGAGGCCAAACTCGGGAGTGCTTTGAGCAACCGCACTCAGCCAAAACATGAGAAGGGCCGCGAAGCTGGCAGGATGGTAGGAGGCGATGGAGCCCAAACGGAGTATCAACTCACATTGCACCACATTTGCAAAACTACACAAAACTCATTTCAAAAGGGTCGAATCGCAAAAAGCCTAAGACAGCATTAAAAAACGCACGCAGCTAGGGTAAACTCTCCGCTCGCCCCAAGTTTCGCGGCCTGTCGGCTGCGCCGCCTGGCGCTTCAGAACTCTGAGGACCCTTTTCGACTTTGGCGCCACGTTTTTTTGGGGGGCCGGCTTTGCACTGAGGAAACCAAATAGGAAGCCACACACTCTGTGGGTGAGGGAAGTAATCCCTTCCCCGAGACACAAGCACCGACCCCCAAATCGAAACAATATACTTACTATGGTCCAGTCCCGTCCCAGAGGCTTTCCGCTCCACTCCTCGTCCAGCCAAGCAAGGACTTGTCCAACGAAACGTCGGACAAAGTGTTGCGGAGAGCCCCACATGCGATCGCTGGTCGGTAGGCAAAATTGTTGCGGAGAGCCCCAGCGATAGCTGTTCGAGTTGGAGGGATTTAGTTTGGTCGCAAAATTGGTCAGAATGATATAGTTTAATTCCAGCTTAGCATCAGCTCTCTGGTGATTACATGGGTCCTGCCCATTGACACCATTTCCAATACATGTTGGGCGTTTTAGCACCACGCCGGCCATTTGCTTAGACTCTCCCTTGCAGATGTATTCCTGCAAAGCAACATGAACACCAAGAAGGGAATCGAGGAAAAAAACCTCAAGCCCGAACCCTGCGAATGTTTGAGGCTCCAAGTGAAGTTGCAGGAGTCTTGCGTCTGTCCAACGGTGGCTCGCAGAATTCAAGTCCGGTCTTCATGTGCGGTTCTTCGCTGCAGTCTCACCATCGTTTCACTACAGATTAGATTCGCACTCAATATGTCAAATCCAACGCACAAACTCCTTTTCACTACCAAAAAACCAATGAACATGTATAGGCCCCCCTAAAAGTGATGAGCCCCGCTTGTTACAAACAAGACGGCGCATCCCCAGCAAAGTTTTAGCAGCCGCGTGCTCCTAGTCGGTTGTCATTTGACAGTCGGGTGGTAAAGCAAAGGTCGGGCTTCATGTTGGCACGCGTCTAACTTGATTACGCCGAAAGCGGACTACTCAACAGACTTTTTGGGCAACATTTTTCGAACTATATCATGGCAAAAAAAAGCGGACAGCGCACGCGATTCGGAAAGGGGTCTGTCAATTTCGGGCCAACCACATCGATGCTCTTCTGAGCAGCGCAGAAAAACTCTGGTGTTTCCACAACCTTCAGATGGCTGAGCCGCGCAGCATTTAGCTTCCTTGGCTTCGTCTCGCGCCGACATGTCTGAGCGCCTCCTAGAAGCCGAAAGGAACGGTGACTTAGGAGGTGGTTCTGCGCTTCCCACCTGACCCAGCAGTCCTTGCTCACTTAGTCCCACGACCCTCAGAGTTGTTGATTTATGGCAAGCAACTTCCGGAGAACGTGCTACCGCATCGACTTGGCAATCAACAAATTTTGCTGTCAAAGTGATGCGCGCCTGGGCGATCTGCAACTGCTGGCCTTCGCAGGGTTAGCCAAGCCGCTTGCCCACTTTCGGTGATGCGCAGCCAGATTCCGTGCTTTTCATTCTTCACCCAAGGCTTGGGGCAAACCCTCCTGTTGCCCTGCGAAGTGGGACCTTGAACCACGCCGCGCCATTGGCCTTGAGCCTCCCTGCCCTCCCTACCTCCCACAATCCAACACAGAGCTGAGATTGAGAACGGGCAACTTGCTTCTAGCTACACACACACCACTGAAGAGCTAAATTCACGATCTTAGGGATTTGAGTCCATCCGGTTCGATAGAGCTTTCGCTCAATTTGGCCGGATGTTTTATTGCTCAGACTGCTGGAGGCTCAACATCAGCAAGCCAGCCGGGGCAACAGCCCAAGGCTTCGTAAGATTTGTGGGCGCTTACTCAAGGAGCCAGGTTACTTTTGAAGTCAACGACCCATCCTTCCCTGCTGGCGGCGCTCCCATCGCCCAGCGCCTTCTGGTTTCTCAGCCACAAGAACTGGTTTTTCTCCTATCAAGACGCTTCAAATTAAGCCCCGTTTCTTTGCCCCCGGAACACGCAGTCGTGAGGTAGCTTTGAGCTGGTAGTAGCGGCGCCTGCCCTGTTCAGGTGTTGTGTAGAGTGTTGAGCAGAGCAGGGTTTTGTAGCGCTTGCCACGCCCAGGTTTCAGTTTGAGGGCGATTAGCTAGGTTTTGGTCTGTTGGTTCAACTTTCTTGTGCGGGACCAAGTTGCTCCGAAGGGTCGCAACACAAGATCGAGCCTCAGCATTTGCATGCGACGCAAACATTACGCACGCGCGCTAGGTGAATACTGAGCTGGCTTTGTTTTCGAGTCTTTTTTTGGGGCTCTCGGGTTGCAAACGGCTGTGTGGCCTTGTACGGCGCGATATTGGATCGGCCGGTGGCCCCTTCCAAATGTAAAAATGGCAACTTGCGTTTATGAATTGGGGACGGTTGTCCGGCCGTTGATAAGTTGCTTGTGCGGCGCGTGTCGGACTGGCCCTCCGGGGCTCGAATCTAGGGGCAGCTGCAAAGCAGCAATGACACATGTTCTGTCAGGCTTATGCAAGTTGATGTTTCAAAGAGTACTTCCTGGCAAACTGACCTAATGTCTGAATCATGTGCTTTTTCGCAATGAATACCCTGGCAATGTTGATGCGCGTCGACATGTTAAACAACAGCTTCGGTCAAATCCACTAGCATGTGGGACCCTCGTGACAGGGAAGATACGCTCTGTCCATTACACTTGCGTCATTTGCGGGGCGCATTGCGCTTGGTTCCTTCTTGGCAATTGTCCCAAGAAAAGTCAGACCCGACACGCATTGTGCATCTTGAGGTGTGAACCCTCTGTTCACTTGAAATTGGCGAGCCCGTGCGCAAAGTATCCCTGGCATTCTGGCTCACGTGTCTGTCATGTTTGGCAAGTGTTGCCATTGCAAGCTAGCAGTGCGTGTCTAAACATCCTCTCTTCGGACAAGGCCCCCCAAGAATGTTCATGCAGACATCCCGCGCAGCTTCCTAGTAAATCATGTTGGAGTTGGCAACACAGCAACTCTTTCCAAGTTTTCCAGGTGGTATTCTTTGGGCCAAAAAAGCAGCGTTCAGGAGGCAGCGGAAAGGAACGCCTGCCATCCCGGATTTCAAAATAGGTCAACTGGTGTTGAAGATTTCGGGAGCGATCGGCTCGCCAGCCATCCACATATAATCATGTGTAGGCGCTGCGCGCTCGAGTTTCCCTGTGCAAAACATAGACCCAAAAGGCAAGTACTTCAAGGAGGGGGAAATGAAAAGAAATAGGTGTGAATTTAGTTGGGGACTCTTGGTGGACATACGTGGAGATGAATGTTCTCCAACAACTTTGAAGGGCGTTCCGATCAATACGCTTCAAAACCTTGTCTGCCGGTACTATGTCTGGGGTGCGGATAGCTGGTTGCCAGGTTGCTGGCTTTCTGGGCTTCTCGGGTTGCTCCTTTTTCTGGTTGTCTATCCAATGATACCACGATATCTTACTTTGCCTTATCATAAAGCTTAACCATGTCACATGATAATATGTCATCAGATCATACTACCATTTCATACCACCACTCCACACCATGTCCAAACATGTCTCCAAACATGTCGCATCATTTCATACCATATCGTATCGTATTATTACAACATATCACATCATTTTGTTTCATATAACATCATATAACACTGTATCATATCATATAACAGTTATAAGATTTACATTTATCATGTCATTATAATTTATCATCAGGTCACGCCTTTTTCCACGCCTAGTGCGCGAACGACTGACAAACACCTAGAGCTAAACCTAAGAACGCATGACTGCGTGATCGCAGCGGGTTGGGCATATGTTCAAAGCACATGCCCCCTCGTCTAGCCAGCGCCAGCTGCTTCAGCCAGCTCAACGTAATAAGGAAACCTTTCTCATAGCACTTTTCCAAGCGAGCGCGCGTCTTTCCCAGTTTGCCTTGTTGCCTGCTTCAGGCTTTGGAGTGTCCGGCATGTCATCCGTCTTGTGCAACTTGTGGTAGATGTAATCCTCCGTCTTCCTTGTTCCTTCAATCATGCGAAGCCGCTTGGTCAAGTGATGCTCAGTAACTTCACCGCTGTGCGACATGCAGGGCAGGAACTACAGAAGCCACTGTATAAGCTAAGTAAGCTGCGCAAGCAAAATAGCTGCAGGCAGGGGAAGCGCTACGGGCCTGCTATTCCACAAAGGGAAAAGAAACAGTGGAGACAATTCTGTACTTTTGATGTTGTCATACCACAAATGGAAGAGAAGCAGTGGAGATCCAGATTTTTGCTGGTTGTTTTAGTCATTGTCCATGTCATGGACAACAGTGACAACTCGTACTTCTGACGCTTGTTGTTTCTGGTGTCACGAACCGCGTTGAGTGATGTCTGTAATGAGGTTGCATGAGGGGAAAACATGCACCGACATGAGCCATGATGGACTGGTTGGGTAGGTGGGAAAGCGGCTGGGATGGGAGTCATTTTTTTTGGGTTTCCCAGTCCGCCTTTGGTGCCTGGGAGTCCTCCTTTTGGGTTTCCCAGTCCGCCTTTCCATCGCCCCAGTCCGCCTACCAGGCTGGTAGGCGGACTGCCGGCAGTCCTCCTTGCAAGCTCTAGTTTGCTAGGGTCATCCTGGACAAAACTCATACCAGGTAAACCCCCAAAACAATTGGCCACCCTTGCCAACAAGTTCAAGGTGCTTCCAGATTGGATGGTTTAAAGGGGGAGGGTTGAGCTTGGCTTGAATCGTCTGCAGCTGTTTGGCTTAGACTTCTGACAGTCTGACATAGGTCCCTTTCAGCTTGTCAAGATCATGCCTAAGCAATGGCGAACAGGCTCAAAAGAAGCGCCGCAAAGGGCGCAACGTGCTCTCAGCTCAAGGGTGGCGACTGCAGACCAAGCGTTGGCTGTTGCAGCTGATGCAGGAAACAAGCACGCGTTGGCTGACGCAGCTGGCGCAGGGCGCAGAAGCAGAAAGAGAAAAGTGCCAAAAGTTGCAGGTCAAAGCACGCATCAGAAGAATCAAGCTCCCAAGGCAAAGGGCGCGCTGGCTGCCGCAGCTGGCGCCAAAAGCAACAGGCGTCGCGTGACAATGAAGAAGAAGAAGAGCAAGAAGCAAACACAAAACAATATTTAAAAAAATGCCATTGGCCAGGCAGATCCTTTGGAAGGGCAGGCGTGGCAAGCGTGGCTTGCTCGTGTGAAGAACAAGGGGCCAACATGGCTTTATGTGGCACTGACATGCAGTTGTTTGCTTTGTTGTCGCATCACCGAAGTCCTGTTTGAAAGCCAAAGACTTTGATTTTGAACACAAGGTTGTTGCTATCTCTTCCCTGAAAGGGCAAGCAGCAATTACAAAGACAATGAGCTGTGCAGCCTTTTCCACCTTCAACCGCTTCAAAGATGAGGGCATCAGTGTGCAACGTGTTCGGGGGCTTGGCTGTAGAGGCAGAATGAATGTGGGGGACAAATGGGAATGGCCACTGGAGCAGGATGGTCTGTTGTTCCCTGCTGACCGCTCAGATTCGAAGACGGCAGAAAGAAACAAAGACACTGTTTCAAAGGCCATTGCACGCATTCGCAAGAGTTTCAACGCGCCTGCGGGGTGCCCAGTTCTGAAGGTGGCACAGATTAGATCCCACAGCGGCCGGCACCGTGCTATCAATGACATGAAGCAGCACGAAGTCAAAGAAGTGGGCAAAACCTTCGCCCGCATTGTGGATGACAAGGTTTGGGAGAACTACGGCCGCATCTCTGCATCCCAGGCAGGAGAGGCCCTGGCTCGAAATAACAATCTTCAGAAGTTCTGGGAGGAAATGTACTCCTCAGTTTGACTGCCCTGTTGATCAAAGCCACTGAGATGTCAGCGAGACGGATTTTAGAAATGCCCTCTCCTAAGTTTCACCCAAGTTTCTCCAAAGCAAGCTGGGCACTGAAAAAAAGCTTGGACAAGCAGCGGCGCGACGTGCACTTTGTTGCATGATCCTTGAGCGCTGTTGATGCCAGAATCAGACAACACGTGTGAAACCGAATTTGCTGGGAGCTTGGGGAACATTGAAAAGTACATTTCACCAAACAGCATGCATGGACTGCAAGTACATGTAAACACAACAGGGTCCCTGGCATTCTGGAAGCCATCATTGCACTCTTCCAGCGCAGCTCATGCACAAGCGATATCTTCACACCAGCTTGGCACAAGTACTGAGACTCAACTTGGCTTTTGCAAGCTTGAATTGGATGTCAACTCTTCACAGGCAAGCCCAAAGCTTTCAGAACTTCACGCAGGACCGCGGCATACACCGGCACTGTCATGGCATTTCCAGCCATTTTCCCCAAAGCTGGTCCGCGCACAACTTTGTCCTGGAAACACTTGTGGATTTTCGGGGACGCCCCCTGCAACCGGAGCAGCTCAGGTATGCTGAGCTTGCGCGTGCGAAGAGCTGACCAGTATCCCTGCTGACTACCACGCGAAGCCGTGATGCAGGGGCAGCGCCCGTCCTGCCAAGCAGGCGTGCTGCCTCCCATGTCTAGAATCACATCTCGGCTTTTCTTCAGCAAACACTCCATCATACGTTCAACGTTTCTTCGGCAAGTGTTGTTGAGGCTCTGGAAATCCTTATCTGTGCCAGCTGCATCAGCCAGCACAGCATGAAGAGGCAAGACGCGAGGCAGCGGGCGTGGCCAACTGAACTTCCGAAGGCATTTGGATTTCTGCAGGCCCACAATGTATAAGCGGTCGCGGCTTTGGGGAAGGCCTCCATGAACTTGAGCCGAAAGTAGTGTCCAGTCGACCTTGTAGCTGGACTCGCCGATGCCTGCCAGGATGTTGATGAACTCCTGGAACGCCTCTGGAAAATCCGTTGCCATGGCTGGCACATTTTCCAATATAAATGCACTGGGCCTCGCGACCTCCAGGAAGGAAAGCACATGCAGGGCAACTGCCCCTCGAGCATCCTCCCAGCCCAGCTGCAACTCAGCCCTGCTGAAGG